TTTATTTTTATTCTTTTGTTGTTATTGATAGAAATATTCAAGGCTTTCAATATTCCACTAACACTGCATTAAATGTATCTCAGTGATTCTGGTATATAGTGTTTTCATGGTCATAATTTTTTAGAAATTCTATAATTCTGGTTTATATTTTTCCTTTCATGAAAAAGTTCATTGATAGAAGGTTTTTGCTTCCCTTCCAGGTAGCAAGAAAGAGGTTAAATGTTAAAGTTGTGATTAAAATATCATGCTTCAGTTATTATAAAACCTTAGGGTAGTGGCAAGTATGAATAGCAATGGCATTGGTGAAGTTCCTGGGTCATAATAGCCACTTGGTAAATAGCAGCTAAGAATGTTCATTATTTTTTGACTACCGCAACACTCGACCATTACAGAGGAGAAGGGTGTCTTGTGGACAGACTGAAATCTCACTTTGCTGTTTTCCGTCTCGTTAGTTGGTGTGCACAGTGTCATGAAGCACGATGCCATTATGGATGGAGCCAGCCCAGATTATGTGCTGGTGGAGGCAGAAGCCAATCGAGTGGCCCAGGACGCCTTGAAAGCTCTGCGGCTCTCTCGTCAGCGGTGTCTGGGAGCAGGGTCTGGGGTTCCCACCTGGACTGGCCACAGGGGGAGTTCTGGTGCTCCAGCAGGGCTAAAGTAAGAGTGTGCTGCCTGCAGTGCTTGTGAGGCGGCTAGCCGATGACAAAGTCAGGGCAGGTGTGGGTGCTTAGACGCTTGTGTGTCTGCTGTCATAGAAAGTCCTTGGGGAGGGATTGTATCAGCCAGGTTTGGGTGACTTGGGGAAATACCGTTGTAATTTTACCTTCTTCCTGGCTTTTATCTCCGTTTTTCCTAAGTGACTTTTCATGGGAAGGAGAAGTGATCAGTTTTGTTTGGTGTCATTAGAAATAGTAAGAGATACAGAATAACGATTAAACTTTAATAAGATAATTAGCCAGGTTACAATAATCAGTAATTACTCTGCTATTCAGTATGCTCTTTTAGAATAATTTTCTAAAAGGGTGATTTCCATCATGTGTTGAACGAAGCTATTGAGTGGCTCTCACTCTGAGACGCGGAGGTTGCTTCCCAGGAGAGTGCCGTGGAGGAACTGGGGCCAGGGCAGAAACGGCACGGCGTGAAAGAATAGCCATGCGCATGAAAGCGTTTCCAGGAGGTTCGTGGTTGAAATGGTGTTTTGATCTCTAAGTCACAAAAGCAAACATTTAATCTGCTGTGATTCCTTTCTTTATTTAGGAGTAGATTTGGTCAGAAAAGGAATTCTAAATTTTCTGTGCAGCATCCTTCTTCAGCGTCCCCAGCAGAGAAGTTCCAGGTAATATGATAGCCTTTCTGCTTTTCAGGCTGAGACTTGCTTGATGGAAGTACCATGACAATTTCCCCTGGTTCTGATGTGGAGAAAATGGCTATCGCTTGATGGTACCTGATACTGTGTTGTATGCTCTGATTTATGATGTACTTTCATTGGAATCTAACAGAGCCACCTGACTTCCTAAAAGACAAAAGTCTGTAACCCGAATCTGTAGCACCATGTGTTTTGCCCTCAGAGGTTAATACGGGGATAGGTGTGTCACTGCTAGCACAGCTTGCCGTTTTGGGGGGGAGTTGCCGGTTCCGGGGCCCCTTGCCTTTTGGAAGGAGGTTCCGGAAGGCCCCTTTGGTTTTTTTTTTTATTTCCCTGGTTGTTGGGGCGGGTTGCCGTCTCTCTCCTTGTTCTCGAATGCCCTGCAGTACTGCAATGCCCTTGAATACTTCGGTGGGTAAAACTAGTCCAGACTGTACCATTCAGTACTTTCTTGTTAAAACTCCTGGGTTCAGACTCCAATCTTTTTTTTTCTTTTTCTTTTTTTTTTTTTTTTGAGACAGAGTCTCACTGTGTTGCCTGGGCTAGAGTGCCGTGGCATCAGCCCAGCTCACAGCAACCTCAGAGTCCTGGGCCTAAGCAATCCTCCTGCCTCAGCCTCCCGAGTAGCTGGGACTACAGGCATGCACCACCATGCCCGGCTAATTTTTTCTATATATTTTTAGTTGTCCAATTAATTTTTTTCTAATTTTAGTAGAGACGGGGTCTCGCTCTTGCTCAGGCTGGTTTCGAACTCCTGAGCTCAAACAATCGGCCCGCCTCGGCCTCCCAGAGAGCTAGGATTACAGGCGTGAGCCACCGCGCCCGGCCTCCAATGTAAATTAATATAAACATACTTAGGAATAGAGAACTTTTTGACTTCCCATGGTATATGCTTTTAGCAGTAGGGATTTGAGGCCCTTGCATAGTTAGATTTGTGTTATTTTAAGGAAACTCACATTAGGTGTAAGGTAGGAAAAGACTAAGAAGGCTTAAAAGTGAAAGAAAGTAAGTATAGCTGTGATATGTGGGTAGTTCCTCATCCACAGCGTGTGGATCAGGATCCATTTGGAGGCAAGAACAGGAAAAGCCCACAAGCACTGAAAGTTGTCCCAGGCCTCCTAGAGGCAGAGTTCCTAGGAACCTTGCCTGGGAGCCGGCCGGCTCCACTCTCCCTTCCCCTCACTATGCAGAATGGCGACCGAACGGCGTGAATCAGTTGTCCTTCCTTTTAATTGATTTATTGTTTTGGGGAAATGCTCTCTAGCAGTGGGATTATTGAGCGTTGATGCTCCTCTTTCCCTTCTGCATTGGATGGGCTCTCCACCTCGCCCCATCAGCCTCACCTCCCTGGCACACATGTTATCTTGTGGCCCGTCACAGCCTGTGGGGGAAGCAAGTGGGAGCATAAACTAGAAATTAAATGTGTCAGTGCGGTGTCTTCTTTCTCCAGGGTGGCGCAGCGAAACAGGAAGGAAAAGGTCACGTTCCTGAGCATTTTAGCGGAAGAGCAGAAGATGCTGAGCCTTCATCTGGGGCCCTCCCCTCCTCCTCACTCTTGGCTACAATGAGAGCTAGAAACCACCTGATTCTGCCAGCGCGGTTGGAAAGTGAAAGTGGCCACCTTCAAGAGGCTCCGGCCCCGATGCTCACCACAGAACATGACGCCCTTCTGGTGGAAATGAGAAACTTCATTGCTTTTCAGGCCCACGTCGATGGCCAGGCCAGCACGAGGGAGATACTGCAGGAGTTTGAATCCAAGCTGTCTGTGTCTCAGTCGTGCGTCTTCCGAGAGCTGTTGAGAAATCTGTGCACTTTTCATAGAACTTCTGGTGGTGAAGGAATTTGGAAACTCAAGCCAGAGTACTGCTGACCAACGTTGCTTCCTAAACTTGCGGTTCACTTTTTCTAGGGGAGATTTCTGATTATTAATTGAATTAATAATCATGTTTGTTGACTGAAGTTGGCTGCACTTAAGGTTTACTTTGCATGACATCTACCTCAAAATTAAAACTGTAAGGAAGAAGAAATTTTTCTCTGAAACTTAAAAGTTTTAATAATGCTAACTAGAGCAGAAAATACTTGCATTGATTTTTTTTTTTTTTTTTTTTTTGGCACTCTGAATTAATGTTATGGAATCAGGGACTTAGCATTTACTCCTTGGAGCACATTTGTTCCTTTACCAAAAAGATGTTGTCGGGGAGCACATTTAGAAGTTTGCAGAAAAGAAATCTCAAGAATTCTTTTTACTGGTGCTAAAAACAGGTTTTACATTCAGTCAGGCTTGTTCAATAAATTAGTTCATCAGTATCTGATTAACAGCGTTATTTTGGGGATACATAACTTTTAAACATTTAAATTTATTGTTTGCCACCCAAAAAAAGATCAGATTTATCTGTTATTTGTTAATCATATTAATTGCCTTTAAACAGTCCTCTTTTTAAGGTACTGTTGAATTGGCAGGTGTTTTTATTCGTAAAGCATGAAATAGTGTGGTAATAAATGATAAGACATGTATTTGTGGAAAGTTGGAGTGTATTCAGTTTACTATGGCTTTAAGCAAAGGGCATCTTTGTTTGACTGTTGGTTTTAGAAAATGAAATGTGTTATTGTTAAAAAATCCAAGCAGAACCAAAAGTCAGTCCATAAAACCACACAAGTGCGTGCACACAGGCATCACGGCAGACCGCAGCGGGCGCAGCCGTCGTTACACGCAGCGACCCCGCTCCGGGCCCCCTGTGTGTGCAGGCTGGCGGGGTCTTTGACCCCTTCTGCTTTCTCTGTGGCGCTAGCCTTGCCGAGGGTGCTGGTCGTGTCCTGTCGGAGCCCTGGCTCTCCCCTCGGTTGTCTTCTCCAGTTGCCATCGCCTTGTGCCTGCTTTTGTGACACTCACTGTGCCGTGCCGTTCGCTGTGATGCTCGTGCCTGTTTCCGTGGTGTGGTTTTCAGCTGAGGCTGTTCTGTTTCTGACTGTGGCTTATGGCTTATGTGTTTATGGTTCTGTGATGGTGCTGCCTTGAGCCTCAGTTTATTTTCTTATTCTTGTTTTTCTTGTTTCCTTTTTGTGGTAATTTTATTCTCTCACCTCTGAAGTCTTGTTGTGTTGAATTCACTGTATTCTTTAGATTTCCTCTGTAGCTGTCCCGGTGCAGCTCTCTTCTTGGATTTGTCTTCTCCAGCTGCTGTTTCTCTTCTCTCATTTTTCGGCGCTGTGCTTGTCTTCCACGCATGCTGTCTCTTTACATCTTGCTCAGGCTTAAAGTGGGCCGTGTCCAGATCTTCTGTCTGCTCTTCCCTGTGACCCAGAGAGCAGCGGTCTGGTCTGGGGAGCCTCGCTGGGCTGCGTGAGGCTTTGATGGGAGGACACAGGTTTTGCCTTCACTGCTCTGGTATTTTCTTAGGCCAAGAATCGTCTCCTTAGACAGAGATGTCCTAGTTAGAGACATGATTCTTGCCAGGATTTTCTACTTTTTTTGGATTCTAGCTGTTCAGTTTTTTTCTATTTTTAGTTTGGTTCATATATATTGAAGGAGGAAGATTATATTATTTTGGTTACTTTGCCATCATTATCTTAGAAGCCATAGAAGGAATTTTTAAACAGATCAATAAATCTTAAATTTAAGTACTTGGCTGAGAAAGAAGTCAAAACTCATGACTCGTTTGTTTCTGGGGACCTCTTTGTTATTTTTATGATCATTAGCATGTAAGGAAATTGTGTCCCCTGTGTTCTCAGGTTGAAGTACTGACCCAGTTCATGAGTGTGAAGCGTCCGGGCGTTATATCTATAGTGTCTGAAATCTAAATTATACTGAACTAGAGAAGATGTAACCTTCTCTTCAAGTAAAAAATACTGTCCAAAGTTACGATGCAGTAAGAGCAAGGTGGTCCTTGTTCCAGTTCTGGTCTCAGTTCTGCCACTGACATGCAGCCTCGAGGAGGTGATGTCTGAGTACGGAAATCTGCACACGTTGTCGTTATGTGTCCTAGATGGAGAGCAATGCTGTAAGTAGATTGGTTTTTAACAGTATAGAGTAACTTATTTAGATAAAGTCTAAGTTTTAGAACTTTAAAAGCTTTGTACAATGTAGATAGATTTAACGTACTTAACATGATATATTGGTAGAAATAAAGAATTTTAAAATTTTTTCAAATTTTTAAAAATTCCCT